TTGAGAGGTTCCTTCTTGAGGGTCCAGATGCTGAAACAGTGCAGTGGGTCAGGACAGATTTCTGTGTTGGATTTTGAGCATGGATTGTCCCTGGCCAGTCCTCCTTAACAGCCTTTGCCCACAGCCACAGTCTTGGTTCTGGGTCCTCTGGAAACGATTGAGGGCAGAGCTGGCACTTCCCGGGTGGCAGCACTTCTTCCATTGTGGTAGGGATTTTTCAGAAGCTTTGGGGAAATCACTGATTCCCTTCAAAATGAAAAGTCTTCTTCTCCTTGGCTTTTCAGTCTCAGCAGATTCCCGGTGGTGAGGGCAACACACAAGTCATCATTGCTGGCCAGTCCCAAATTGTGACCATCAACAGGCAATGGCGTGTGGCCATCATTGAGAAAAAGGCTGGCATTGGGTCCTGGAAAACCATCTGGAACTACAACACGGTGAGTGGCAGTGAAGGTGCTTTGTTCACAAAATGTACGAGGAGACTGACTCCTGGTAGAGCTGGCCAGGGGATGGGGCTTGTTTCTTTCTTCTTACCCTGTTGAGTGTGCAGCTTTGGGTAGGAACACTTAGATTTTGATTCTATTTTTAAATGGGCTTTCTCCAAATCCAATGCTAGACAGACTAAAGTGCGAGTTCTCAATACCTTTATTTCACAGGGTGTCATTGCAACCAAAGTCACTCAACAGAACGCCTGCTACATTTCCACCATGAACAGAAATGAGATGCCCAGCTTCAATAATCTGGCCCACCTGGCACAAGAGAGCAAGGTAAGAGTCCAGGGGACCTGGCATTTGTTTCTCTTGGGGAAGGTCCAATGAACAATTGCTGCTCTTCCACCTTGAGTCAGACAGAAACCCAGGGGCTTTAGCAGTTATAGAGAGGGTTCAACATCTTTGCAGATCAGGACTGGAACAGGGTGGTGTCACAGCTCCCTATAAGTGACCCATAGCAAACCCTTATAGCCCCTTCCTGGGAAGCCAGAGGAGGCTTAAATTAGGGCCCAGAGTGTTTCAGCTCACACTGGCCTCCTGTGTAATGCCCAGTCAATCAAAAGTGCCACCCTAAGCGTCACCAGCTGTCCTTCAGGGCAGAGCTGACTGACAATTTGAATGGCAGCCAAGGTCTTAGGCATCAGCTCATGGGGTTTTGTTTCTTCATTTCTTGCTTCCCAAGGAGTCCAAGTCAATCTGGGATCATGCATTACCCTCGATGTCCTGGGAGTTGTGGATCTGAAGTACTGCACTGGCAATGGCAATGGACAAGTGAGAAAACCTTACCCTTCCCTTTCTTGAACCAAATTTGGGGGGAGGGTTTCCGAGCTGCTGCCCAAAGCCAACCCTGATGCCCTTCATGACAGGCATCTCCTCTTTTGTGAGGTTCCTTCTTGAGGGTGCAGATGCTGAAACAGAGCCATGGGTGAGCAGAGATTTCCATCCATGATGTTGAACATGGATTAATTGTGGCCAGCCCTCTTGCACTGATCAATTTCTGAATGGCACGGATGGCAGCTGTCAGATGCAGCATGGGTTCACTGAATTCCCAGAAAGAATTCTTACGGTCTCTGTGCAAATCCACAGCCTTGGTTCTGGGTCCTTTGGAAAAGAATGAGGGCCATGGCAGAACTCCCCAGCAGGCAGCACTTCTTCCATTGTGGCAGGGACTTTTCTGTAGCTTTGATGACATCACTGACTCTTTCTTCGAAGAAGACATGTCTTCTTTCCCTTTTGCCTGGCATCTTCTCTTTTGAGAGGATCCTGCTTGAGGGTGCAGATGCTGAAAGAGAGGAATGAGTGAGCACTGAAACATCTTCTTTCCCTTGGCTTTTTAGTCTCAGCAGATTCCTGGTGGCATCTTCAACAACACGCAAGGCGGCATCTTCAACAACACACAAGTGATCATTGGTGGCCAGTCCCAAATTGTGACCATCAACAGGCAATGGCGTGTGGCAATCATTGAGCAAAGGAGCTTCAGCGGGTCCTGGAAAACCATCTGGAACTACAACACGGTGAGTGGCAGGGATGGGACTGCTTCAAAAAAATCCAAGGCGTCTGGCTGCTGGTACAGCTGGCCCAGGTGATTGTTTCTTCATTCTGGCCATGTTGAGTGCACAATTTCAAGTAGGAACTTCCTGCACTCATTCCGGTTTTCAGAAAAGGTCTTTACAATTCCAAGGCTTGAAAGACTGAAGTGTGAGTGCTAAAAACTTCTATTTCACAGGGCGTCATTGCAACCAAAGTCACTCAACAGAACGCCTGCTACATTTCCACCATGAACAGAA